CTCTTCCAACTTCTATTATAAATTATATTTTTTTATTCTAATTTTTTTATTAGATATATTAAATCTGTCACTTTTTTACTTCTAATAATAAATAATATAAACTAAATTTAAATACTTCAAATGAGTAGCAATTCAATCTTTTTTAAGATACTATTCTCAAATACTTATACTTAAGATACAATTCATTTAATCTACTACTACCTTCATCAAACTATTCTCCAATCCAAGTGGGTTTTAAACAATAGGCTATTTTTTGGAAGAAGCAAGTATGCAAGGCAAAATAATTTTCATAAATTGCTTTGGTAATGCTACTACTTGCACCAAAAAGAGTAGGCATATATAACTACAAGAGAGAATATATATATGAAGCTTTCAATGATTGATCATGAGACAAGACAAGCAACTCTAGATGAGGTCAAGCAAGACAAGGCTTTGTATGCTTACTTATCTAGTCATGTTGATTGATGGACACTCATTATCCTGTATTGAAACAAATAATTTTTTTGCAAAGACATCCTTTATATTGTCATTGAAAAACATAGCTATTATAAAAAGGTGGTCATTACCATGTAAGAATCTTAACACTACTTACTACATTTGTAGTACAATTGCATAATATGAATGTGCTCTAAAAAGAGCCACATGCACTACATTACTTGTGTACAACCTTGAAACCTTACATGACTTTAGAAGATGACCTTATTAAATATTAATATTAGATTCCTCCTACATAGAAAATCCATTTCAATCACATTGTTCATATTGCAACTAAAACAAGATTAGATTATCTCAAAAATCTAAGATCCTTCTATTCCATAGTAACATAAAACCTCATTACAAATAGGACAAAATATATTAGAACAAAATTAAATAGAACTAAATAGAATAAGACATGAAAAATAAATTCAACAATCAAAAATAGAACAGAATAGAAGTAAACGAAACTAAACAAAATAGGGCATGAAATACAAACTCAACAATTAAAAATAAAATACAATAGAACTGAAAAAAAGGATGCAAAACCAAACTTTACTAAGAGAAAGGATCCAAAGCCATACCTAACTAGATACCCCAAAAGGCCTTGACTTGTTTTATTTATACCTTGTCTTACTACCTTGGGCCTTCTAGAATGTTTGTAAGTAGTAAGTTCCATCTAAGTAACCACCTTAAACTCATTTTCTAGAAGATTCTATGGTGGGATCCACTTAAATAATCATCCTAAACTCTTTCTAGAATATTCCATAGTAGATCCTACCTGATCCACTAATCTAATACCAAATTCTAAAAACTTCCATAGTTCTAATTATCTATATAATTATTTTATCTGTATCGTGTTACAATAATTCTTCAACTTAGATTTGATTTTGGATGTTCAAACACTACATATAGGTCATTGTATACTAATGTAATATTTTTAATGTATACTATATCTAATGTAAAAGAAATTATTTAAACTATTTTATTTTTTTATTAATGGTATAAATAAGTCTAAATTATATATATATATATATAATAAAATATAAAAATTATTATTTATAAATTATTATTTATAATTTATTTATTTATATATTTTTAAAACTCATAATTTTTATAATAAAAATATTTTTAAAAATTTAACTAAATCATTAGAAATATAAACATTAAAAATAAGGAGGTAAATTAATTTAATTTTTTTAAAAAATATTAAATATTTTCAGTACATTTTTGTATATCTAAATATAAATTAAAATTCTAAGTAAATTCTTATATGAAGTCGATATTCTATTTTACAAATTTTAAAAATTATTTTTTTAAAGAATAGAATTTGAAAAAAAATTAAATATATAATTTTAAAAAGTCATAAACATATTAAAGATTTCAAATATATCACTATTATTAAAAATATTTAAATTAATAGAATAGATTAATATATAGAAATTAAATTAACATAAATAAAAATTTACAAAAAATCTTTATATTCAAAAATTTTAAAAATAATATAACATTTTAAGTCCACATATTCAAGATAACCATATTTACTAGTATATTGACTTAGATAAGTAGGAATAAGAAGAATTTGGTGGATGTAAGTAAAAGTAGATTAAATTTTAAATTTAATAATAAAAAAAAAAAAAAAAAAAAATCTTGCAAAGCTTTTTAGAATCTTTATAAATTTAGATTTGTCTTTACAAGTGTTTGTTGGTGATTATTATGTTGAAAAATTAGCCAATAAGTTGGCTATATAGTACACATGTTGGAAGTTTATCCTATAAGATAAACACATCTCTCATAAGTTTGATTTGTGTTTCATGGTCTAAAAAGTATTGGTTGCCATATAATTCCTTAATTAGATAACATATATAGACTAAGAGTGAGGTCTTTCTAATGCTTGTTAATCCATTTTTTCTATTTTAGTATTATTTCAAGACTCTCTAGTATCTTTCTATATAGTAATAATAATTTTAGTTTTAATCTGATATACATATATATATATATATATATATATATATATTTGAAATATCTACTTTTTTTCTTTTGGTAATACAAGAGTACATTGAATTTTGTCATGATTCATATTTTTGGTACCACTACTAGATTTTTAGATCCTAAAAATATAAAATTAGATTAAACTAAAACTTAAAAATAATACATATTTATAACATATTTATAACAGATGTTGAAGAAGTTCCAATCATTTCTATATCTTCACTCCCTGCCAATCTTGTTGCTCTTTGTGGTGGTAAATTGAGTTGATGCATTGCAAGCATTAATTCTCTCAATTGCTCTTGCATTTGTGCCATTGCACTCTTCATTTCAGCAAGTTCTACGATGATAATACTTAGAAAAGAGAAGATGTCTAATATCGCTCAAGACAAATAGAAGAGAGGACTTGAGAACAAAGAAAATACTAAGGACAATATTAATTTAGAAGAGGATAATCTGCAACTTCTAATATGCTTGTGTCTTATCAAGAAAAAGGGATAATCTTTTCTTAATCGAGATTAGACAAAGCTTTGATATTATAGGTGTATTCTTGTCAATCTGTCAAGGAAAAGAACATGATAAGATAAATAAACAAGTGAGACTTCTCTCATAGAAAGATGAAAAAATAGAAATAACTTTTTATATATATATATATATATATAAAGAAAGAAACTGAAATGGCTATTGCCAAAAGCCAAGAAAACTAGAGACCCTTGTAACTAGACTAGAATCAAGAAAGGAGTTGACAAGAGTGAAGAATGCTTCATTCTTATCTCTATATATACTATCTAACTAGGGGCTACATGGCGACGTTCTATAGGACCTCCAATATGTGTTGACTTTGTAGGACACATGCCTTGACTTACAAGGCAAGTTTTTCTATGTGTGGGCTACATTGTTAGCTTAGTCTTCAAGCTAATAACATGTGTGGCACATGGCTAACTTGTTGACCACGTTTCCAATCCAAAAATTCAATTAAAGACATCTATAAAGTCAAAGCAGCATCTATGAAGCTTCTAAGAAGCTTCCATATCAAATACTATAGAATTAACTTAATTTTACCTACTTTTACTTACTTCTACTTATTTATATATGTAATTATTGGCTTACATGCATATGTCTGCGACAATTCTTCCATTTGATTGCTAATTCCATATTTTCTTTGCAAACAAGCATTGAAATCATCCAAGATGCTTTTCAAAAATCTTTTTTATAGATTTAATGGATTTAGTGGATTTCCATATAACAGTAAAATAATAAATAATGCCCTTAATTGAAATTCAGTTTATATTCTTGATACTTCTTCCAAACATTATTGCCATTTTCCATCATCTTCAAGCAATCCTAAAGCTGTACATGCACTTTTAAATATTGGATGGAAAATTCCATGAATAGTCTTTAAGAGCTCAAATTATTATAGATCTTTAATGTGGATTAACATAAGCTTCAAATAACATCTTTTTCCCATTGTCAAATTTGCAAAATATAATCTTCCAATAACAAATCCATGTTTTCTTAACATCTACATCCTTCTTATTTTATGCCAAATAAAATATTGTTGAAACTATTGGTATATATATTATCTTGCCATTGCCATTTTTGCACATGTCTCAAAAAATAAAGTTAATATTATCTTTTGTCTTTCAACGCGTTCTAAAATTATAGTTACCTTGTCATTTGGATCATATATCACTTGCATTTTTGGAAGATGAATGGCCAAATGAGTATATTTCTACCTGCAATATATTGTTGATTGAGAACCATAGTTTTATTAAAGGCATATGAATTCCAAACAACATTAAGTTTTTTTGATGAAAATCAAGAGGGGTGCATGTGATGAATGAGAGCCACCACTTGTTTCTTTGAGGGATCTTAACATATAGATAGAACAAATAGAATTATGAACTAAATTAAAAGGGCCTAGAAATGCATATTTTAGAAAAGAAGGAAACAAAGATGATAAAATACTACTTACTTCTAGAAACTCCACAAACATTTTCACATTTTTAAATTTTTATTCAAAACTATCCAAAAATCTTTGTTGAATCCATGCAAATTTTTTGCAACCTAAATAGTTTGTACCTAAATCTTTGCATTTTAATATAAAAAAAAAAAAAAAAAAAAAAAAAAAAAAATCCAAAACTTAGATTTTCCAACAATAAAGTGGGAAAGTAAAGATGTCTTCAACTTTACCATGCTTCATAATAATGGTTCATTTTTCACCCGAAGGTACATCGGAACTCTAGCTACTGACATTTAGTCAAGTTGCTGTGGTGACTCCACAATCCAACTAGGTTTTTCAAATGGGTCGGTAACAGGTCCACCTATTTCACTAGCCTTGGGTACCCCCTCAGACCTGCCATGGCGGAGTGCGTGATATCGCTGCCAATTCGCTCTGCTTTGCTCCATATTCCTTTCGTCGTGAGCTTGATTTGCAATTGTAATCACTCTCTCAACCATTGTATGACTGGAAGCATTTTGACAGGTAATTTTTTTGATACTTGGGCTTTTCATAGAATTTGGCGAAGATTGATCGCCTGTTTGTGATCATCTGCAATTTGATGTGATAGATTCCATTGGGTTTGAGGTTCGGATCATGGCTCGCGTTGACAAGCGAGCAAGTGGGGTTTTTGTGTCGTAGTGACATGGTAGTAATCCAGAATTGAAAAAAAAAAATTGAGGAGGAGTAAATGTTCGTAGAATGGTCGCGGTTTGTGAGCACTTTTCAGTAACTCGTTTTCGGGGTTTGGCTCTCAATTTGATTGTGTGAGAGAGTGTGGGCCGGATTGCGTTAAGACTTGCAATTATCTCGATGGATTTGAAAGACACGTTCGTGTAGCTGGTTGGAGTCGAGTGCGCATCGCGAAGGGCTAGTAGTGCTACGACGTAGCATTAAACAAGGGTTCGTCGGCGAAGAATGTTGTATGGCGTAGGATGGTTGGTTAGTTGGTCTCATTGGATTCAATGAAGACTTTGAGGTTTTTGATCGAGTAGTGTGAGAGCGTTGAGGTATGTCTGGATGGCTTTTGCAGCTCCTGCACGCACTGAGGGCTTGAGAAACCTCAGTTTTAGGGTTTAAGGTCATAGCTTGTACAGTAGAGGATGTCGAGGATATATGCCGTTACGCCTGATCATGTTCGACATCATTTACTTGCAAAATATCTCAAGAAGCTTTGTGGCATTGTGGCAGTAAATCTCAGTTGTTGGTAGTTTGTTTTTGTGGAGCGGCGTTGACGTGGTAGCTGAAAATGGTAGAGTTTCCTGTAGATACACATCCAGGCCACTCGCTCCACCTCCTCCTCTTCAAGGATGTCACTAATAGCAAGTAAGACGTGTGTTTTGTGCCTTGTTCCTAGGCCTTGGCTTAGTGATTTGTGCTACAAGGGTTTCGTTTCAAGTTTTTGTATTCAGAACTTTTCGGTAGGGATTAAGTTACGGATTTGATGCTTTTACCAGTTTTCTTTGTTAGGGTATCTTAGTAGGAAATTTGACATTGGTAATTTGTGTCTTACAGTGAATTAGTTGAGGCTATGAAAGCAGGAACATTGAGTCCTGAGCTGGCCTTCTTTACTGCCACTCTTGTAAGCCTTCTTGTTCATCTGATGAATTTAGGTTTTGAAAACTTTGTTTGATTGTTGATTAAACGCTATATACTTCGGTGGTTGATTGAAAATGGGGAATTGATATAGGTTCCGTCGACATTTCCAGTGCTAGTGGCAGCTCACAAGGCCTTGTTAGCGCAATCAAGAGATAACCTTGCGACGAGAACATTGCACTCGGAGCTTATCTACAACTACTCTGGTTCCAAGCATGTATCCTATTGAACACCTGTCCAGTGTTGTAACATGTCGTTAATGTGGAGTTTGTGAAGGTAACTCAAGTTATCTTTTGAATGCTTCCTCATCAGTCAAGAAAGGTGAAGCTTGTGTTTTCAAAGAGAGAGTGAAGTCCAGTCCTTAATCAACCGGGCAGATTTCAGAGGCTCTACGCAGATTTGGAATAAACGAAACCAGTAGCTACATATTAGTTGGACGCTTTGACGCAACGCCTGAGGATGTAAGTTTACAACTCTGTGTTGGTTCTTTCCCCACATCGTCCAGATTACAGCCGTCTTTACACAAGCTCATGTCTGTTGGGTTGTGTCATTGTTCTACTTTGAAAGAATCTTTTTACTCTTGAGTATAAGATACTAGACTACCATCAAAGTTGCAATTTCAAACAACTGACTCACTTTTTCTAAGATGCGCCGTGTAAATATTTTTGATAGTTAAAGGCTACAAGAGGATTAATACAGGGATCTGAGATCAACCTTGAAGAGTTGTCCAAGGAGGCTAGCCAGTCCCTCATCCTCAAGGTACAGCGGTTACAACTTAATGCCCAATGGTTTGACATTTTAACCAATGCCTATAACTGCATATACCTGCTTGTTCGGGTCCTTATTCCTTCTACATTGGTTTTGTTTTTTTTGTTTTTTTTCTAGCTTTGACTAAAATCACTCTTGTGATTATGACTTTTGTATTTGTACAGTACTACAAAATCACACCTGCTGAACTGGAAGTGTCATCCTTGGAAGAAGCAGTGACTTGTCGAATTGCTGCCCGTGATATTCTCTAATGAGAGGAATGGTTCATTAACAAATGTAAACCGCTTGTTAATCTGGACCACCAATTAGTAGCCTCATTAATGTTGCAGCAGTTGATGGAACTTTACCAACACAAAAACTCCATCCTATGATGAATTGAAAGTTGGCATTACCTTAATGCATGATCACTTGTGTGTTTTGAATACAATCTGTACTTGGGTATAAGACAGTCATGAGGACTAGGATACAATCGAATGAAAAATTAATTAAGAAAAAACGTCAACGAACTTTGGACATAGTGAGCTGCTTCCAGTTTGTGCAAGAATTCAAGAGCAATTTTCATACATCATCGCAATCAAATGTCAAGGAAATGCTTGAAACTCAAGGAGAGACGCTCGTTCCAGGATAAACAACTCCGACTGGTTAAGGGAAAACTCTTCAGAGAAAATAGTCTCATCTGTTGTGAATCTTTTACTCACTTTTCCTCTGTTCTCCATTCTCCATGTCCCCATCCCCCCTGTCCCCCGTTCCGACCTCCCCATCCCCATCCCTGTCCGACCCCCCATCCGACCCCTCGTCCCTGTTTCTCAGCAGCTCGCTTTTACTGCAGTAGAGAAATGGGAGGACTTTACTGCAAATTTTACACTATGATAGATGAGATTGAGAACCTATACCAAGTTCAGGTCAAGTTGCATCGAACTGTATTGGATTCAGTGTTGCATTGTTACAATCTCATACACTCAAACAACCATTTCCACACCCATTATAAATCTACATCTAGTATGCGCATCACAAAACTGTCTGGCGAATCCTCCCTAGCCACCCCCAGCAGCTGCACCTGCCATCGCCTCAGACTCTCGTCTTCCTTGACCTTTTCCAACTGTTCCTTCAACGACACCAGCGAGCCCAGCTCCTTCTCGTTGAACTCCACACACGGCCCCTCCTGGTCTGCTTGCGACTCATCGTCATCGGATTCCATGCACAACAAACTCGTTGGCAGGGACTCACATTTCGTCAACAACTTCTCGCTATTATTCTCTTTGTCCTCCTCCTGCTCCGACCCCTGTGCGCTTTGTTTGTTGATGTCCTTGGACAAGGAGTTGCTGCGAGTGCGCCTAAACCATCCAGCTACAGTCTTTGACATCTTTCCACCCCCAGATTCTACTCTAACCTCAGCCCCCTGCGATCAATCAATTGCACCTCCACTCGACGAAGTCAAGATCCTTGGCACCCACCTTTGTTCACCTACAATTGCATCACAACAACTGGACTTGGATAAGTGATAATCTCTGGCAAGAACAATATCTGCATGCCAAGAGCACAAGAGAATCATCGAAAGTCAGGTTGTGCCGACAGGACATGCATCAGACAGAGCACGTCGATCCAAGTTCCAGAACTCCTCACATCAAGAAATGAACTCATCCGCCACCAGTTCAGATCCTTGAAAAAAGCCAGATAAAAAAAATTAAAAATAATAAACAAACTGTCTAAGTTCGCTGTGTCTACATCCATTGTGATGCCTTCAAAGAGAAACGTGTCTTTACAGATTGGTATAGTTAGTGACCTTGCTGTCGTTGTCTACACAATGTTTTTAATCACCCTAGAACACAACAAAAGACAAGAATGTTCACATCAAACCGGATATATCAACTTTGACCCATAATGGTTCCTCACATCGACCTCCAAGGATGTACAACTGTTCTTAACTCAAAGCAAGCTGCCGTGCACAATAACACACTTGGACGGCTAATGGACGGCTAAGTACTTGAAGTAATTATGGTTTACAAGGGCAGTATAGACACTAGTTCTATTGTACGCTGAAGTAAACAAGCAAGGGCCAGCTCACAAATTGGGCACATGAAATGTTCACTTGAGTTTGTGCCATTGTCATTAGACTCACTCTATTCGTTTGTGTTACAGAGCAAATTCTATTATTCTTCCAAAGCTGCCAACTATCCGAGTAGCTGAAACACCCAATGACATCCTCGCCTCTAGATTGCCACTACAATTCATCACAAAATTTGTGATGAAGTCTTCCCATATTCTACCTCCTACACAGGAAACTAGCTACTGATATACAGGGACGGGGGTCGGACAGGGACGGGGGTCTGACGGGGTTGGGGAGGTTGGAACAGGGGATAGGAACATGGAAAACGAGGGAATGGGGACACGGGATAGGAAGGTATAATGATGGTTTAGAGAGGGCGGGTTGATTTAGTAAAAACTTACATTGTTTTAACATTCCATTAATAATATATATATATATATATATATATATATGTTATTTATTTATTTTTAATATTGATTATTAAAGAATTGGTGAAATTGTCAATGTTTTGAGCATCCCTTAAAATTATGTAAGTCTTTAAAGACATCTTATTAAATTTTTCTAAATTGTAGAATTAATTTTGGACATAAATACTTTGGTACCTTCTTTTGGATATTTTAATACATCCCATGACTCTTCTCAACTAAGAGGGTGGAAGTTCAACCTAAGAACTTGAGAACATAGACACAAGTTTACAACAGTATTTCTAAAGGCAATAATCCAAGAATTAGAAGAAGGTACCAAAATATCTAAAAGGGGGTACTAAAATATCAAAGTCCTTAATTTTATTTAATATCAATTATAAAGTATTTAAATAGTTTAATTTTAAAGTCTCTCCACCAAAGTTTGTTAATGGATATAATTTATTAGAACTACTAAAATGTATTTAAGTTATTTTATAAAAATTTATTAAGAATACTATTTGATGTTCTTGACATTAAAATTTTAAATACTTCCATGAAATCTAAAAAGAATTTATATTATAAAATCTTAAGAAATTTTGAAGTTATACCTTAATTTCAAATATATATATATATATATATATATATATATTTTAATTTATATAAATGATATAATAACCACTCTTAAATAGGAGGTTTTAAAATAGAGGTATTCATTTATGATACTTATATACATAAAAAGAAAGGTAAATAAAATAGAATAAAATTTATATACTATATTTTAATTTTTTTTAATTAATTGATTTTATATCTATTAAGTATAACTAAATTATATTTTTGATAGTCTATATGACCTATTTATTATTAAAATTTATAAAAGTGTCTAATATTTTTTAAACTTATTATTTATAATACCAACTTTCATAGCAAATAAGAATTCTTGAATCTAAAACAAATTATCATGTTATTGTTATTCTTATTTTAATGGAAACCAAAAAAATCATAGTCAAATTTAGCATAAAATTATTGAATTCTATTTAAATATAGTTATTTAGCATAAAAGTCAAGTATTATTTTTTTACGAATACTAACAATAATTTTTTATTTTAAAAAAAATATAATAAAAATATTATTATTTTGAAAGTCGAAAAATTCTTTAGAATCCTAAAATTAAAACTCTTACAAATCCATACTTTGTGCCATTAAATTAATTAAAATCATAATTTAAAATTTAAATTTAAATAAATATAAATTATTTTTGTGCATTAATAATAAAAAACCACTTTATATTCATTTGAGAAGATTTTGTTATTGTATTGTATTTCTTGATACTTTATTAATGATCAGATATTAGTTGCAAATGTTGCTTATAATATAAAACATGTTAATTAGATTAATTAATTTAATTTATATTAAAACTTTTAAATATATTAATTACTACAATTGATGTTGAATCACATGCATCATGATTTTTTTAACCTTATAAGTTATTTTAAATCAGATTTTGATTCGGTAAAAATATGTTGTAATCGCCAAAGTAATTTTAAGCAAAATGTTTTATAATTTGTATAGTAATTGTAAATACAAGCATGATAAAATTTTCTGTTCTCTTTATTTTCTTTATTTTATTTTGGTAAGGTCCTTGTAATGCTACTACATGATAAAGATGTTGACAGAAATTCTCATTAGAACAACAACCATGGAAGTGATGTTTATTGTAAATAAAAACAAAAATAAGCTGGATTTGAGAAAACTTCGCAGTCACAATAATCCTTCAATTAACTGTGTTTATCACCCAAATTGATACTTCATGGATTCATAAACTTAATGTGTTGCTGAATTGATCTCGTTGTGAAACTTAAACTTTCTGGTAATTAAAGCTTCTATTATTCAATTTAACATATAAATGGACTTTATCAGCAATTTTGATGCTCAACTTATCTTACGTATTTGACAACCCTCCACTTCTATGATTTAGAATTAGGTAATCAATATATCTAGATCTCTTGTATATGCACATATGGGGACATCAGGAACTGCCAGAAATGTCACAAGTGCAGTAAAAGTTTTCCAGTAGATTAGCAACTTACATGCTGAAGCTCCTTACAGTGGGAGAGATGGAGCTCGAGAGGTGGCTTAACCGCGGCTCGGCCTTCTAACATGCCATCCTCAGCACACTTCTAAGTCTCTCCTTCTGGATGCTACTTGAATTGCGTAGGTTAATTGCAAATGTCAGAGAAGGTTGCCTTCAAACTTCCTCGTGCTCTTTTCCTTGACTATGCTGATATAGCCTGAAGATTCAGTAAAATTGAGCACACTGGTAGTCCCAAGTAAGGTTCCAGGTTAACATGTCTCAGGCCTTCAGGAGAGAAGTTATTTCGCATGAGCGATGATGGTGTCAGCTTAGCTGTAGCAGCTTCTTTTGCTCAGGACATCTCTGCCTCCGACAAGTTTTCTACACCGAGGGTAGCTTTCCATAACTTTGTTCCTCTCACATCTGCTCTGTAGAGATCTGCCTTGTAAAGGTTAGCGCCATCCACCCTCGCGCGAACTAGACTCGCCTTGCGAAAACTTGCACTCGTGAGGCGTGCCCAACTCAGATCTGCAGCCTTTAAATTCGCACCGTCCAGCACCGCTCCAACCATCCCCGAACCTATAATTTTGAATTTGGTGAGTGGCATGAAAACACTCCATTCCACTCCAATTTCTTATTCACTCCAAAATTATCTGGAAACTCAGACAATTATCTAGTTCCCATCCGAGTGTTTCTTAGACAATATAGAGTGCTCTTAAATAACAACACGACCGCATCTACTAGAGTGGCGTTACTGCTCATTTGATATACGAATGACGGAAACAATATCATGAACCGGTATGTATCTGCCCTTGATCAACTTGCAATTCGTTCCCGTAAATAGGATGAAACAAGTGTATGCACACAGAAAGATTCGGAGCTTACAAGCACTCGAGAATAAGTTTACTAGCATTCCACTTAGCTTGGTTAATCAATAAAACCATTAAAGATCTGAAATGCAACCTGTCCGGCACAATAGCTACGTTGCAAATTAACAAACAAAGTCGTCCGCGCAACCAAATACATGGTGATACCTGTGAACTTGCACGACTCAAGTCTTGCCATTCTGAAATTAGCCCCAGTAGCCTCACATTCTTCGAAGTTCGCATTCCTCAGGTCAGCATTCTCGAAGTTGGTATTGATCAATCGAGCCCTGCGAAGATCTGCTCCTCTCAAATCCATATTGGACAGGTTTAGCCCAGAGAGATTCACGCCTCGCAACTTCAGTCCACCACCATAATGCAGCAATTTGATAAAATCCTGGCGACTCATCTCAGACCTCACAGACTTGACGTCAACATTGTCACGCGTTTCACGCAACATCCAGTTGATCGCCACCACCAACCCCGCCAACTTAAAATATTCTGCTTCTTCAAGAAGACTCATGTATGTGGGCATTTCCAGGTCAGGGATGACGACGCCGTCACGGAGCCAATTCAGAATGTACCTGAAGAGATTTCCATCCCGATTGATAACAACTTCCTCACACTCGTGGTTCTGGGCCGTCCAGGTGATAAACTTCTGGGCCCAAGCTGCAAGCCACGAGCCTCTGTCCCGCTTGAGGAGAGTGCTGAGCGCCGTGGTAAATTTAACCCCTCCGACATCAAACCTCGCAATAATTCTGTCCTTCTCGGCTTGATTGGAAAGAGTTTCCAGTTGAGGAGGGGGATTGGGATCCTTCACTACATCGAAAAGCCTCGTCCGTCGGGGGTACTTGGGGCCCTCGTCTTCCATATCTCATGCACTCGTCGTGCGCAGATATGACGTCGTCCCAATAAACCCAACTCTGAGCGGACAAGCAGAGGCAAAACACTCACATCGATCTTCTTCGCTTTTGAGTGAGTGAGTGATTGAGTACGAGAATGAGAAAGTGAGAGTCACGATCATGGTCAGCGTCGTAGTCGGGGAGGTCGTGGTCGCAGGGATTGCCTTGTAGTAGTCATGATCATTCATTCATGCATTCATTTATTCATGATGGGGAGCTGGGGAATGATCTCAACCCACATGGGTATGCTCGGGAATGAATTGAATACAAAAGAATAGAACAGAATGCCCGCATCGCTTTCCGTGCTTGGAATCGCCATCGCCTCGCCTCGCCTCGCCCCGCCATAGCCTACACAGGACCACACTTGTGACGACGAAGACGGCGAAGCAGACCACGACAACGGAGAAGAAGAAGAGGAACAGACTGGCGAGTTTAATTTAACTCACTCCTTCTACTCTTGTGGAATTTTATCATCTGTGCCTCAGAACTTTACAATTTTTTTATACTAAAATAGAACTAATTAAAATTCATGTGTGTGTGCATATATATATATATATATATTTGATTTATTTATTTATTTTTAGACTGAATCATAACTTTTCATGAATATGTTCAGATTAGGTAATAATCAATTTATTAGTAGTATTTTCAAAGAATGTTATATATATATATATATATATATATATATACGTATACATACATACATTCTTTATATTTATTTGTATGAATTCGAAAAGAGTTTGTATTACACGTCATGATTGAAACACATGTACAAGAATAAAACCTTTAAGTTGGTGTTTAAAAATTAGAGTATAAATTATTAGAAAATAACAAGTCTTATTAGTTTAGACAAAGAATATTAAGAATCACTCATTAATTTTTATAAGCTTAGTATTGTTTATGCATATTTTTTTAAGCAACTTATATATTATTAAACAAAATTTTAATTTGATTTTTTTGTTTATTTTAGAAATTATTATTTTGAATAAATTTGAATAATAAAATAAATTTATATAATACATTAATGAATTTTGAGGCGATTTAAATAAAATTAATAATAAATATTTCAGTATGAAAGAAAATATAGAATGTCAAAATAAAATTATACATGTTCAAAATTTTAAGAAATTATATAGATTATAATATTCATATGAATTATAAATAGAATTTCAATTTATACATAATAAATTATAATTTTTTTTTATAAACGTACAAATTTATTGTATTAAAAAAATTAATGTATGCTCTACGTATTTTTAATCTGTAATGCTATGCCAACCAAAATGACATTCCTTCAAGAGAATTATTCAGGTTAAGAATGTATACAGCTAAAAAAACGAGGGTATAAAAACTTCCTATTTATAATTTGGATTTTGGATCCTCTTTGTATTGAATTTTATGTCCAAACTTTAATACTTTAAACATATGTTAGTTTGTAGTCCAACAATTCAAAACTCAACCAAATTCTATTGTGACTACTTTTGAACATTGTTAAATTATATTATCTTATATCAAATGCTAATATGCAATGCTAATTCAATGCATTGTTTTTGCCAAAAAGAATAAGTTGTGAATGAAACTTGTATCAAGAAGAATTTTGCACCAACCACAATTTTAAGTCCAATTGCATATAACTTAATTTTAATCAAAATACAGAAGATCAAAGTAGAATAGAAATACTTAAAAACTATAGATTTTTGAAGTAGTCCAAATTGGCCTATAATTCAATAGAATAACAATAATTACAAAAAGAATAATTTTTTTTAACATGATCTTGTTGTAGATTAATACTAACCTTAATTATTAATAGTATCTAATTGTCTTAGTTTAATTGATGTTGTGTAGTAACACAACTATATAGTAAAAAATAAAAATATGGATGTTATAATAGAAGAATCTAGTAGAAAGATATAGTAGAAAAATAAAGATAAAAGATAGAAAGGTAGTGAAAGATTTAGTCTTAATATTGCCATTTATAGAAGAAACTTCTATTTACTTTGTAGAGACATAAATGAGCCAAATCAAAGTAAATGAGATAAGAAATTAATATAAGCATGTTTAGGAGAGACTTAACAATAGGTTAAAGCAAAACTCACCTAAAATTATTAAAAATTGATACCTAAAGAAAACCAATTGTCAACTTGGATCAAAATCAAATCCTGAGGCACATAATCATGCCTAAATGGCAACTTTGGGGTTCTTTTATAGATTAGAGAGTGGAATTTGAGATCAAAATTGAAGAAAAAAATTTAAGCATTGGTTTCATGTAATTTAGATCAATATTAAGATTTTGAGAGATTTTTAAAGTTAATGATGTTCTTAGTGGGATGAAGATTTGAGAAATAAAATATATTTACAAATTTGAGTATTTCTTGAGTTTTGTGGTGTATATATGGGTGAAATATAAGCAATGTATTGATGTGCTCATTGTGAATGTCTATACAAATTTTAAGGTCAATTGAATGGTTGGATTGAAGTATATGAGGATTTTTGTGGGTCAAAGTCTCAAAAATTGGAATTTGAAGGTTAGTGTTTCTAAGATCTTTAGCAATTTTTTGATTGGATTGAAGTTTTTTTTTTTTATATGGATACTAGAATTGATTTTCAACATTTTGGTGAAATTTGAGAGCAATTTAATAGTTCAAAAGGGAGATATTGGCACTAGAAGTTCAACATTTAGATTGGAGTAGGAGGCTGCTTAACACCCAATTGGATTATCTTGTATTTCTCTCAATTGGTAAGTGCAATCAATTTCATCTTTCTTGTGCTTATTTTTAACTAAGATGTTAAAAAAAATACAAATTTTGAATTGATATCAATGATTCAATCATTAGTTGTTGAGGTTTTAATCTACTATAGGGTTTGTTAAGAGTTTGTTAAGATTTAGAGTTTGGTCAAGATTTGCTTAGGATTTGGTTAAGGATTTGTCTAGGATTTAAGGTTCATTAAGATTTCATTAAAAATTAACCTAAGATTTGATTAAGGTCTAATTAGTATTTCAATTAGAAGTTGACATAGGATTTGATTAAGCTTCATTAGAGTTTTAATTAAGTTTAAATTAGGATTTAATTAGGATTTATTTAAGATTTTAATTTTTAATTCTTCTTTAGGATTCTTTATTTCTTCTTTAAAAAAATATTTCTAATATTTATTTAAAATCATTGTTATTTCTTTAAAGGTTTATTATTATATTTCTTTAAGATTCTTGTTATTTTTCTTTGAGATTAGTTTAGAACTTCTTTATATTTCTTTTATAACTTCTTTTAAATTTATGTTAGATTGGTCAAAGTTTGATTAGGATTATTAAGGTTTATTTAAAGTTTATTTGAGATTCTATTAGACTTAGTAGGATTGTTGCTGCATTTCAACTTACCTTCCACAAATAGGGTGTCCAATGCATTCTCAAGCAAGAACACACGTAATATGACACCGGTTACTTATTTTCTTGTCTTAATTTGATCTAATTGAGGTGTTTGTTTTTAAAGTAGATTGGATATATTTGACATGCCTTAAATTTCTGTATTCTATTGTTTGGATCTTAATTTGTCGTAACTAAGGTGTCCAACTCTTAGATGGATCAAGTATCTCCAATTTGTTTCTAATCTATTGGTCTAAGTTTTTCAACTATACAAACTATATTATTATAGATCTACTATTAAGTCAACCAAGCTAATTAACACTTATTAAATAACTTTTTTGTAAGAATATTGCTAATGTTATAATAATAACTAAATTATAAAAGTAGCATTATGGTGTCATATTGTAAATGCTTAAAATATATAAAAAATAGTTAAAACATATTATATGTTGATAACTCTAGATGTGTGTTAGAGTGGTTAGTAGATTAAATTAAAAGGAGTTGATATAAGAAACCTTACTTTGTTTTTTTTACTTGTTTTGATTTTGGCATAAAAAAATTATATGGCCTAAATGTTTAGTATGAAGCCTTGAGAGGAGATTAGAGCCTAAAGAAAAAAATCTTAACTAGTAGGAGGCTTATTGGGAGGGATGAAAGCAAGGTATGGTTGAATGAAGGCAATGAATGGGGATCTTCATTCCTATTGGTCAAAGGCCATGTCCAATGGGTTTCAAGTAGGCTGCCCGAGGCCTTATTAGGGATTAGGGTTTCTCTTTTAAAGTCATTTGAGCTTTGGAGGCTATGGTCATCAAGTTTAGGTTTTTAGGTACAAATTGGATACAAATTTTGTGTAATTTGGAGTTTTTATGAAGGAGTTATTGGCACTCAAAGTTAAGGTATCAATTTCATACCTACTATCACTCTTTGAGGCATAACATACGTTTACAGAGAGCAACAAAGGATCGACGATTGGGATTGGAGAGATCACTTCTTCTACTACACTTTTTATATATTGTTTGATGAATTTGGAATTTAAATGAAGAAGTTATAGAGGGTTGAAGTTAGCACATCCAAATCAAAGGCAATAAGTAAGTGATTTTGTTCATAGTAATGGTTGGAGCCATATCTTGAGTTTCTACAAAACATTTTGGCTCAAACCTTTTGAAAAAGGTTGATTATTGTGTGAAGAAGTTATACATACAAATTCTATGGCATTTGAGTGCTTATTTTGTGAGATATGAAGAAAATTGCATGTATGTGTATAAAGACAAGGGTTTGAAGTGATTGTTAGGGTTTTCAAGATATCTCAAGATCTGTATCGAATTTGCAATTGAAATTTGTTGTAGAAGTTGATAAGAATACATCAGTACTTCATGTAAAATTTGAGTAAGTTTGGACGGTCAGATCAGGAGTTATGAGGTATTGAAGTTCGAAAAAATTTCCATATAAGGATATACAAGGATTTAGAGGATTTTATCATATTTTGGGTGTTGTTGGTTACTTGAGGCTTATGTATTTGGTGTAATTGCTCCAAAAGGAAAATTTTATATATAAACTTAGGACTTCTCTTATTTTATAGCTTGATTGAGCAATTAGTGAGAGCTAGGAGCCTAGTACTTTCTTGAGGCAAACTCTCTCTACCCTGACAATGGCCTCATGGTATATTCATAAAAATTTAAGATATTCTTTTGTATTATAGACTTATGTTGTCATTGACTATGTTTTTTAAATTATTTCATACTAAAGTTTTACAATCTGTTGTTATCATTCTAAATTTCTATAACCTTTATTTCATCATGAAAATTCTTGTGAAAGGGCTTCAAAACATTTGAAAAGGTACATATAATTTTTGCTCTTATTCTGGATATTACACTTGAAAAAAAATATATATACAATATAAATATTACAAATTGCAATTATGAAACACAAATGAAACAAAGGAGTTGTACTTGAAAAAATTGTACAATTGGACTGTGAACTAAAATGAACAGTTGTAAATGAAATGATAACAACTGCAACAAGGCACAGTGGTCGAAGATTGTAAGAAAGAATATATAGATTAATAACAACAATAACAAAACACATGAAGTCCCTGTAATATATTAATATTTTAGAATGACTTCCTCCCAATAGATGTATTTCTGTTCATGTAATTTTATTTTCAATGTCCATGAATATCATAACCTTCACATTATTTTCTATTATATGCAAAGTAGGAATTTAATTTCAAAAGTTGTGCAAAGCAAAATAAATAAAATAATTTTTAAAAATAAAATGAGAATGAAATCAACAAAAAGGATAGCACTGAATCCGTACCTTTTAGCTAAGCCACCATGTCACACAAAACTAGTCGACGTGGACACTGTTTCGAGAATCCCTAATCTGAATCAGAACGTTACTGGACAAGACGAGGTGAGTCAGTACACTTCGGATCAACTGTGCCCACACCAGCCTGTAACAAGGAGCCCTCAGCTGCCTTGAACCGTTTCCTTGGCTCCTCTCCCCATGAGAATCGGTTCTGTCTTCGAGACGAGTTGTGGCTTAAGGCAAGGTCAGACCAAGCCGAGAACATGAGTCTGCCTGAGCGAACTGAATGCATTCTCGCGCAATCTTCAGGTTACCAAACCACATAGTGCACACGAATTGCGCAGTTTTAATAGAAGCTGTCTAGGAAGTTTTCAATGGTGTACGGTGGTGAGCACTTACAAAGTACACCACAAGACAACCGAACTGAAGAAGTTGAAAGTTCTGTAATAGCTTCAGGAATAGAATCGGTTTTGTAAATAGTCACAATTTTCGACCGGCCACAAGTTTTGGTAAGTGGAAATAGAAATTATGTCTGAACTGGATGACAGAATCTTCTTATGAAATACAACTCATCGTGATACAGAAATTCACATAATTCTGATACCATTTCTCATTTCGACCAATTTTTATAAAAAGCAAACTCAGTGAGGAAAAAAAATGCATAGGAAAAAAAGTCAAGTTCACACCAAAGAAAGTGATCCAAAAATGAATTTGACCTAGCTCACACTTTTCTTTTCGCGCTAGGTACCTGGTTCCTAAGTGCTAATGTTGAAAAGAGCAACAAGAGCATAGTTGCTATAAAGGAGCTATACGATACCTACAAGTACTGGTCAAAGGATATGTTTCCAACAATGAAAGTAAAAGATATATCATCTCTACGACAGTATCTAGTCAAGAACTCGTACACTATAGACGCTATAGATCAGATTCAAGGATTATCTTTGATATAGATAACAAAAAAAAAAGTTTTTTTTATTGCATACAAACAGGGTTGTGGTTTGTACACTTATACATTAGGTATCACAATGCTACGTGTCTAAATCTCAAAAAGGCAGAGAGTACAGTCTTCTTCGCTTCCACCCATAAGATAATAAGTGGCACACGCAGCACCAATGTAGGTGCGGCCTGTGCTCTGTTCATAAATAGGATCGCTAGCCAAGGAGATGTAAGGATAAGGTGTTGTATCAGGATTAATAGATGACAGACACAAACCACAATCATCAGCAGAAAGATCAGAACGACATCGTGTCGCATAGTATGCATATATTCCAAAATCTTCACGTTGAAAATACTGGAATTCACACAAATAATAATATAGTGAATCTTGAAAACATCACCGGCGATGCGTGCAGGAACGTATGTTTCTCATCGTACGGGCACGAGGGTATCTCCAGGACGTGATTCTGCTTATCAGGAAGGAGGTGAGCATTTGCAGAGATATTCATTGCAACATGTAGTCCTGAACAATACAACGTCGATTGACGGTCAATATACATGACAAATAACTGCAGGAGGTCCAAGAGGTTCCGACACGCTCACTACTGTCTTTTCGAAGGTAAATAGGTTTTGATCTGCAAGTTTCAGGTGAATCAGAACACACATTCAAATATTATGCACGCCGATATCATGACATTCTGCATTAGCGATCATGAGTAAGCAGATCAGAAGATTGTCTAGAGTAGGAAATTTAAACGATTTATCTGAGATAGGAATGCATTACAAGTTCGTCGTCGCTGAATCAAACCGTATTAAAGATGTCTAGAACTTCTCCTCAACGACTCAGATCTATTAGTCTACAAAAAGTCTTGCGGAGTATCTCAGTCATTCTCTACTACTGAGTCCGGCTAACTGTGTACAAAATGCAGTGGAACCTTTTGTCGATTTTGGTTGATCTTTTCTCAAGAAATTCGTGCTTGCAGCCCTGAATTTCAGAAGGCATATTATCAAATCACTGCCACTCAAAGAAGGAAATCACAACTACAGAAGCTCATCAAATGAGGGATCAATATCACAGCTACAAGTCCGAATTGTTATTTGTTAAAATAATTTAGAAGAAAGTTCTTATATATCTAAAGACTTCTCCACAGTTAGTTTCAAATCAATCTACTATTGGCTAAACATTTATGAGAAATTAGTATGAGCGCCACAACAAACGTTCAATCCATGCCGACGTAGGATGAACTCTGTTTCGTACCATCACTTCTTGCGCCATGCTGAGAATACGAACGCAATCGCGATGGCAACAAGTGCTGCGCCAATTACCATGGGTATTACATATGAACCCCGGTCTCCATCATCACCAGGATTATTCGAAGGAACATGCGCAGGATTTTGCGCAGGATTAAAGGGACAATACTGTCCATCCCAATGCTCTGCCATCTCTTGTGTACTTTCCGACCTCGGCGGCGATTTGCGTGGTTCTTTCCCCATAAGTGGCTTCTCTGAATTGGATTAGAAAGAAAAGGAGAAGCATAACTGTCAAACATGCGGCACTGAAGAAAGAAAGGTGTGAAAGTACATCAAAAATTCAGCGAACAATAACAAATGACAGCGAACGAAATTCTGCAGCAAACACGGATCACAAACTGAGCCTCCTCAGCACGCCGAACAGTTGATGAAATTGATCCAATCTGGAAGCACATAACTTAAAGAAATTATCATTATCATTACAACTCTTCCAACCTTTCCTGATAACAGCAATTGGATGCAGAGTTCGGATTTCCAAAGCGCCCTTCAACCTCAAGCGAGAATTCGAAGTGACAAAGTGCTCTCAACAATGAAGACTGTCGCAGCATATGATCGAATGGACTCGCCGTAGCATAATATATTCAGTCCAGACTCGGGACAACCATCGCTGCTTATGTAAATTTTCAGTACTTCATACAAATTTAAGTAGGCACGTAAAACCTAGAATCTAAACCGTGGTTTTAACAATTTCCACCCGTCTTCCGAGGTCGGCGTTTTACAGTTTGAAATGAATCACTGCAATAAATATTACATAATCTAGTTCATATGCTTTTGGACCATGGTATGTACAAGAGTCCACACCAAGATTTCTTTTTCCACGTCTACTCTGATGCTTTCGAGATTAAGTGATACACTTGAACAGAATGCCATATAGTTTGTCATTACTGGAGAAAAAAACGCCATCTAATCTAATTTTAAGCCAATTTTTATCATGATTAAAATAACTTAGAGATCATAACGGAGAAAAATCAGCATTATAAGATGAGATCATAATAGAGATGTCATTAAGTTATCATGCTGTTCAGATAGTGTGTAGCAAGCTCAATGCTTTCCATATTTATTCCAGAGTCAGTCGATGTTTCCGAATAACATAATCAAAGCAAACTTGGACGCACTACTTCGCTTATAAAGCACTTCGAGAAAAACATACTGCACGGTACATAAGACCTGTTCTCTCACAAAATGATGAAATGAGTACAGTCCTTGCAACTAATTTTTTGTAAAAAAATTAAAGATAAAAATAACGACATAAGATCAAAATTACTCGGGTATTCTTCTGTAGAGCTGTAGCGTTCGCTCACTGATGCACCCCAGCAGATCCACCCCTGCAACATGCGTTGTTCGAATGTCCAGCACTGGCGAATATGGATGCGAGGTAAGCATCTGCTTCGCCGTCGGGGTTCCGAGATCCCACAGCCACACGGAGTTGCTGCCTTCGTCCCCGGAGGCAAACAAGCAGCCTCCATCGTTCTGTGATGGGTGCCTGCCCGTCCATGCATTCACAATTGCAGTCCTGGACAATACCGCCTGGCTCTTGTGCCCCACCATTGCACCTTGCTGTTGCTCCCACAGTGTCTGTTCTGGCTGCCTCCGTGTTCGGACGAAGGACAAGTGCGTCGGGACGAGTACACTGACAGATGGTTCGGGAAGTAAGCATGAAGTAGGTTGAGCGGGGATGTCTACTTGTGAATATGTCGATGGAGTGGAAGAAGATGCGCCATCGTTGAAGCCGACTGTTGCTGGCTTAGGTCTTAAGGATGCGACCATCAAGTCGGCAGCGGCGCTGTATGCGACCGACACACATATGGATGAGCCTCCTGGTTGAGACAAACACACTGGTCTGAAAGCGAACGGCATTGAGTAAGAGTTCTGATACGAATCAGGCCTTCATGAGGATTTTACTACAAGAAATGGGAAGGTATAATGTTGATGCATACGTAAATGGCTGCTAGGATGATATCTAATGCTTTGAGTTCGTCATTTGGAGGACGAGAAGCTGCTAACCTTTTTACGTGTGGTTTATCGATGCCTGGCCAGAAAAGGAGTGAACTGGAAGACGCGCTCAATAGACCCCGTCCCCCGCCTGTACCACTTTCGTCAGTGATTGTCCTGCTTTCAGGAACATATTGTAAAGTGTGTATTGGAGTGGAGCTCAGACCCTCGAGAGTATACAACGGTGACGAAGTTTGACGCATGTCGAAGGTAAGCAATGTTCCATTCTGTCAAACGGATCGAAATGTCAGAAGTCGATATGAGGATTACGATGGACTTTTTTAAGTGGCTGCAAAATCAACCTTGATGCTTCTGATGGAAATCTTTGGTCCTACAACAGAGACTAGGGCCAGTACAGACCTGTAGACCAGTGTATACTCGATTAGGGTCGCACGGATCCCATGCGCATGCCCAGGACGGCTTCTGCATCCGAAAAAAAACAAGAGGCCTTCAGCTCGTCGAAGCACATCGCTTGATACAATAAAAGTTGTCTTTGATTAACAAAAAAGAAATTAAGGAGAAGCAATACTGATTCCCAGAGTGAAAATCCAAAGCCTGGTGCACTTGGACTGCGTATTTTAGATTTAAAAAATTAAAGCGATAATTTACCGGAAGTGTATACGCTATGACGACGTTATTGCTTTCCAAACTGCCACACGCAAATTAACATCCTCTGTTAGGACACCAGTAATACAATACAGAAGAGACCGAGATTATAACCAAAACCAAGAGGTCTACAATTAATTAGAGCTGCTGTCTGATTCAAATGCAATACACTGAAAGCTTCACGAGGAAATTCAACTTGCACTTTAAAAAGTTGGAAAAGAGCATAGTAAAGAGGAGGAAATCGCAGGAAAAGACCTGAATATGGAAAGCTTTTTCCCCAGAGAAGCCACCAAAGCCAGTCTTCCTGGTGCTCTTGTGCCAGCAGGAGCAATGCGGATGTCACGAATTGCACCCGTGCCGAAGGGAAGATTCACACAGTCACCTTCAGATAGATCCACTAAACTCATCTGCAAAAGAAGAAATTAAAATAACACCAGAGAATAGAACTGTATAAAGTAAACGAACGCTTCTGCACATGAACCCAGATCGACAAGCACAGGTAATTGAACATCTATAGTAGACCAGCAAGCTACAAGAAAGTAGGGATAGAGTCAGGGACTTGATGAAAATCTTAATCCAATCCAAATGCAGCCGACATCGAAACTTCTGTCAACAATTTGAAATAATTGAGCGAGATTATGAAAGAAGTGTTTGCAGGTACAAACTTTTGTTAAAGCAGAGCTGGTCGCGCTATCAGGTGGTTTCCCAGAGACAAGGAGCAATTGACTCTGAGCATCCATATCGAAGACTTTTGCTCCATGTAACGACCGTTGATCCTGCCACAGTACACACATGAGAACAATTTTAACATGACTATACCAGTTGCCGAGAAAAATAGAAATCAAAAGCTCAAAATAATCTGCAGAGCACGAGCATGGCCAGCCTTACCTGTAAAACAAAACCCTTTTCAAGGCCGTGACTGCCTGCTGAGTTATAAGATGTGAAGGAACGCAGTGGTCTTGATGCATTGTTTTCCTCTCTCCGTTGTTCAAGGTCTACAATCATCCCTGCATGAGAGCCCGCCCTTACTGAATTTGTTGCATCAAATCGCCTCCAGTTTTGCTGATCTTGTGGAATTGGCCGTGATGAGGACTCCTCCCCACTTCTCACAAATGGAAAGTGCTCAAACTGTGGCCTTTCCGAAATTGGCCGCCCACTTTGACGACTAGAATGATCATAGTTCGCACTCCCATGAGCTCTGTGATGATGTGGACGTGAAACATGTTGAGCTGTGACGGATCTCCTACTTAGAGGTGTATGATGACCTCGCAGGTCCTGAGGCCTCAGAGCCGAAGACCCGAACATACTAAAAGCATCATCCTGATCTGGAGCTAAAGCTCTAAGCAGGGCCTGCACAAAATAGCAGCAACCAAGTTCAAGTAGAAATATCTGCAACAAAAAAGATTATTGGTGTAGAGACTTGAATCACTAAATTAATAAATTGTCTTCAAACCATCAAGGTTTAAGTCTGAGTCTAAAAAGAGAGAAGCCTTCATTGCCATTTGCTACATCACAGTGCTTGTCGACGCTGGAGAGGTATTCAATAGCAACAGAACTTCGCAATTACTAACCTGAGTGCGACGAACCTCTTGTCGTAGGTCGGCAACCTGTTTATAAAATTAGAGGCAGATTTTTGTTATTCAACTATCAAAGAGGATTAACACTACAGCAACTCAAACACCAAACACGCATAAAATGCATCGATAGTTGTTGATTTACTTAACAATTCCAGAAAACCAGATCGATTTCAACGTCAGACATCTTCATCATTTGCTATATCAACCATTCTTATGTATAACAAACATAAAACAAACAAAATTAACCCTAGAGTCGAAATCTTATTGATTTACAAATTCTGTTAAAAGAATAAAAAATAAAATAAAATAAAATAAGGAAAAGGAAAGATAAAAATAGATAATCGCCTACCTGCTGCTTTAGCTGCTCGTTCTCAGTGCGCAGTGAACAAGCTTCCTGCAATACCAAAAATATCAATACTTAGATCTTCAACACCAACAGGAAAATGACGTGCAATGAAGAAATCATTGGGCTATATCAATGTGGTTCTAATCCAAATATTTGCCAATTGACTTCGACCAAACATCACCTCAAAAACATAAATGCACAAGCAAAGAGTTGGCAAAAAGTACAGGGGGGACAGACCAGCATGTATTCCTGGCCCTCTTCATCCATAACGGCAAGCCGAGGAACATACAATGTTCGAAGATCCTCTATTCTTGCCCTTTTGTTGCAATGTGGGCACTGTCAAAAACCACATCACAAGCATAAGAACTACTGATAACTTAATGTGGAGCCAGTTATCTTACTAAATTCAAGCGATATTTGAATCGCAAAAAGTAAATTCGTCACTCTAAAGGGATTCGATACTGCGATCAATCTGCAGGATGAATAATCAAGATTAAGACTCTAAAGCTAACCTTGCCTTGTTTCTTGCCAGTCAGCTTCAACCAGCGCTTGATACAAGACTTCCCGAACAGATGTCCACACGCTAAGGAGCTACACAATAGCCGTAAAAAGGAAACATTACTATTTCTCTCTAAAGAAGGTGAGAAGAACAGCATATTTAACACCTAACACATTAAGTTGAGGACCTGTAAGAACAACAGTATGGTCCATGGAGCCATGAAGTCATTAGGTGCAACAATGCAAGTGGTAAAAAATTACTTATCACTACTCTTCATAATTCTCTGCCGAACACGAGAAAGCTCCCAACAAACATTGTAACGAAACCCAAACAAAATTAGTGTGGACAACGAGATTGTTTAACTGCTTACCAGATGCGATGATTGCCCGTGCTCGTCCATGGCTCCATGCAGATAGGACATGTAGTGCCCTCTGAGTCTAATTGGGTGTTAACGTGCTCGCCTCTAGAAGTTTCTGCTCCCACAGAAGGAGCTGCAAAATTAAGAATGCGTTACCATAATATTATACGATCTGAGAGCAAAATTTGTTGAAATAACATAGAGGTCATAGAAAGATGTAAATGATCATCACCTCTGGGCGAAGATCGAGGCTCGGGCGCAAAAGCATCATAATCTTCAGGTGTCTGCCTCGGTTCTGCAAATGCTGAGGCCGTGAGTGCTGGATCCACTGATTCAGCTTCCCCATTATCATCAGAAATCTCTAACACCTCAACGACTTGGTTGCCTGCTTCAGCATCTACTGTTGGGCCCTCAATGTCACGGGCGTCCACAACCTGGGGACTAGTTTCTGGAGCGTCTGTATCTGTAAGAAATGAAGGGATCAGTTTGGTAACACGTCAAGCACTTCAAAAAGTTTAAGTGCATAAAATATCTACACGGCATCCAAACTTTTATGAAGAACTTTAACTTTGGTTTAGTATGAATTGCTCACACTCACGCTCCAAGAGTGGAATTTCGGATTGGCCAAATGACACCCCGTTGGGAGAAAGCGCCTCAACTTGTTGTAAGAATGGACGATGCTCCAGCTCTGCTTCCGTCTCCGGAGATCTTGAAAAGATAGTTTCCGGTTGCAGTTCATTACTTGAGCCGTCTCCTGCTAAACAAAAAACAAAATTCCGTCATGCCGATGTTTTGACCAGCACAACTTCAATAACATATTTTCTACATTATGTTATGACGATCGTCATATATTTGTGGTCACGGATATAAACATAACGTGAGTGATCGTAAGGTTTACGCAACAGCACCATGAATATGCGCGTGGTTAAATCCAAAATACAAGACTGGCAATGTCAGGTAACTCGCCTGAGACCTCACCACCCTGCACTCTATCATCAGCCTGCTCTTCTCCAGATGGATGTGCGTCATCGTGTTCATGACGTGACCCAACAGGCTCGCCACTCGTTACAGGCACCTCAGCACCCGGCTCAACGACAATACTCTCCATGCTGGGGTTTGTTCCAACTTGAAGCCGCCTCTCATGATACCCTTCATCTTGATTTGCAATGCCATCCACAAACTCGCGGGGAACATCTTGTAGGCCACAGCCTGCTGCAGTTGGTTGCTGAACGGTGTGAAGATGGCAAATGTCAGTGACATTGGCTGAGTTTTCTACATTGCTGAGAGCAGAATCATTGTCAGCCTCAAGAAAGGAGATGTTTTCAAGGCTGCGTCCAAAAGAGCGATTAACGAAGCACTCACTCGATGAAGTAGGCTCTGCACATTAACCCAATCATGCCATATCTTAAGAGCCCATGATAGTATTCCGCGGTACAAATACCACTTAAAATAGTCAAACCAGCAACAAGATCATTGGTATATCCAATTACTAATTCAGTTCATATCAATCATCTAACAATGCAGTAATGCCACAACTTTGAGAGCTTGAGTCCGCCAGTACAACGTACACAGCATCTCTTTCCAAAGTGTACACCCCAGAGGTGATACTCAATAGTAAAAAGAAACAGCCTGTAAACCAGACCACATGCCTCCAAAGGAAAACTCCTTGGCATGATCACATACGAATTTAAATGTTGATACTGTATCGCAGCCTTTCATGGTCAGAAAAATTCCACTACACCTTTAGCTCTATCGCATGTCCATACTCCTTTTTTTTTCTTTCTTTCTTTCTTTTTTTCCATTTTAAATTTATTTTTATAATAACTCCCTACTAATTTTTTTCTCATATACTCCTTGTGCTCTAAATTTCTGATCTCGTAGATGCCTGCATAGATCAACTTAATAGTAATCTCACATTCTCCTCATAATTTCTGAGGGGAAAAACAAAAATAAACAATCCTGTCACTACTTTCATGTAAGCGGCAGTTTAGACTGAAAAATCTCAAACCAAGCATTTAGTCGACAAGGACATACCTGCTTGAATGCTGGACTCTGGGACGTCGACAGCATTTCCTGCTTGCACACCACTGTAGGAGATAGAGGGCAAATTCACAGTAGAAGAAGTTGACGCGCCATGAGAAGGACCCGCTGAATCAGAAGGACTACGAGACAGCCCTCTGCTCTGAGATCGCAGAATTGAGAGGCGGAGGCGTTTGGAGGAATGCAGACCATCTCCAGCGTTCTCGCCATCCTCCTTCATCCTCTGCTCAGCCTCTTTCGCAACGCATTCCTCTACTCCCACCGGATCGCAATCCATCCGATGCCGCAGCAAACAAACCCTGATCGCAGCCTGAAGCCTCCACCAGGTCGAAGCACCGCTTTATCCCACCTGCTTGCTCTGAACGTAGGGCTCCGCATGTTCACATTCTACAACATGTGATTGAAAACGCCGCATACGCGAAAACAAAAAACAAAAAAAATACAAGAGGTCGACCTGAATAGAGTTTCCCTACATCTTTCTTCGAACTATCCACCAGCTTTAGTGGAATGTGAGAGCCCGATTTCCGCCATAGCGAACCCGAATTTGGTCGCCGACAAGCGTCGAAGAGAAGAAGGTTAGAGAGAGACAACGACGAACGATTTCCGTCCAGCTCGAACGGACGACATGTAAACGAACGTCGAATTATTTTCAAAGGACAAAAACCTTCTCATTCGCTGCATGCTTTAATGTTTTCAAACAAAAACTAGTTCATTGGATCTTAACAAAACCTGTAGTGAACGAGATAATTCAGAATGATTTTTGAGAGTTATATAGAGATAATTTGGAGTAATTTTTTGAGAATTGTATAGAGATAGTATGGAGTAATTTTTGACTAGCTTGTCTAATTTTTTCCCTCTCCTCAGATCAATTTAATTGTAGGATTTGGTTTAAATTCCGTTGCAATGGGCAGTGTTCTTAGTTTTGTTGTGTAAGGCTCGGCGTGCACAACCTTTGAAGGTGCTTGGTAGTATTAATGGTTGTGCTATTTTTGCTTACATGTAGTGCTTGAAGTGTTTTGTAGGAAATAAATTGGAGATGAATTGTATATTGTATGTAATTATTTTAGCCAATTTTTCCTAAAGTTTTTTGTTGTTGTTCTTCTTCTTCTCTCTGTGTAAATTGACTCAACTATATAATATGATGCATGTGTTGAGACATTTGCATATATGTATGTTAGAATAGTAGAAATGTCTTTGGGATCAATTTGTTGCAAATATTTTTGTTACAAAGGTGTTAGTGATGAATTTACAATAGTAAAGAGGTGAAGAGAAGAGAAAGATGAATAAGAGGAGGAATGTGGCTGAGAGAAATGTGATAGCATCAACCTTGCTGATAAAAATATTTATATTGCTATTGAGAGTAGCAACAACACATACATGGAAAACAAATTGGAGTGATTTGTTAAAAGATTCATGTTGAAGATTAGCTTTAAAGGAAAAATATGTATATATATATATATATATATGGAAAAGGTTTAAAAGTAAGAAACAATAGAGTCTCTTCCACTCTTAAGCTAATGAACAATTTATTGTTAGATAGTTGTTTCATTTTAAATATAGTAATTTGAAATCACTCATTGAAATTTTAAAATTTATCCAATTAGGACACAATTATCCAATTGCAAAATTCATGCCAATGACGTCAAAAGAGCACATATCATTGCCTTGTAGAACATCATATGAGACAAAATTTGGATTTAACAATACCTGCAAGGATAGATTGACCTTTGATTATTTTGTTTTGTTTACATTGCATGTCTAAACAAATGTTCCATTCTCAATTATCAGTGGTATGGCATAAAATTGTATTAAGAATTATTAATAGTTTAAAATTATTTATTTTTTATAATTTATAAGCATGAGCTAAAATTGGCCTCTTATATAGCTAAAAGTTATTTTGTATATTTTATTTCTTTATTTTTGAAAACATTGTAAAAAATATTTTTTGACTCACAAATATATCTTCAAAAAAAAAATGCTTATTTAAAGTGAGGTTTTTTATAACAATAGCACACGTTCAACTAGTTTCTATTTTAATCTTGGTTTATACAAACAAACAAGAGAGTTGTAGAGCACCTAAGGATATCCAGTATATATCATTGCACAAAATGGCTTCTCAATGCATTGCAGTAAAGTAAGGCTTTTGCTTTCTCTATTACAAGCATTCATGGACTCCATTAAACAAGATCTCTTAGCCTGAGCTCCAGGTATGTGGTAAAGCATGTTTTAATGCTAATAATTAAAGTTGGTGATAATATCAAAGGCTTATTACAAAATTGGAGTATTGATTCATTGCTATTTGCAGATGTCAGAAATATTCTTTACATTAATAATATTATTTTTTTTTCTTTTTTTTCATATACTAAAAATCTAATTTTATTACAATTAGGATAAATAAATTTTCTAAAAAAAGATGCAAATTCAGCCTACATGCATGTCCATGAGAAATCAAGGTCAAAATTCAACTTCAAGAAAATAGATATTACTCTTTCTATAGCTCTCAAAAAGCTATTTAATTTGGTCTATTATCACTTGCTATAGGACAAATTGGTTATTAGAGCTCATATAGAAATGTTTGTTTATATATAGATGTCGTGATAAGATAGTAGTTTGATTATTCATATGATTATATAGATATAAGTAATAATATTAGATATGATTATTAATAGCATTATTAATTGGCTACGTTAAATACAGATAATTTGAAAGAATTATCTTAACATGGAGAATCTGAACCAATATAGTGTAGGCAATAGAAGATAGGTTGGAAATATCCAACTCATAGAAGAATTAGACCAATAGGATTCAAACAATATTAAGCAAATTATAGATATATGATCTAAGTAAAAATCAAATGTTTTAAAGTCTATATTAGAGCAAATTAAGTCAATCATTATTTTTTTAAATATAAATTTATTTATAATTAATCACAAAATTATAAGTAAATATAGAAGATAATAGATATTAATGCATATATGCAAAGAGAGATAGAAAATACATGGTATCAAGTTTTTGATGATATAAAACCTAAGATGTTACTACTATTGTTAATATAAAAGTTATTTTTACATTTATTACAAATATATGTTTTTTTTATTTCACTATTTTATCTTTTTTATTTTTTATTTAAATCCAGTCCTTGCAAATCCTTCATATTAAAATTAAATTTTATGTAGTCTAACTCAAATTAGCAATAGGTACAAAATTCTTCTCAATATGAATTTTGTCTACAACTTTTCAATATTGATACAAGAAAGATTATTTTTGAATTCAAACTTACAAATCAATTCCTAATAAGAAGAGATACTACTTAATATTGATTGGATGTAACTAACAAGTTGTCTTCAAACTAAAGCTAAGACTAAAAAACATCTTTAGAGCCACTTTATTTTAGATAAGCTTACCTCTAAGTATTAAAGCTCAAACTTTAAGATCTTATAAACTATAGATTTTAAACTTTGGTTTTGGTGACATACATTACTAACTTCAAATATTCTACTCTCCAAATTATTATCTTGTCAATATAAAATCCAAGGTTAACATCTGGAATCCATGCTTTTAATTTGAACTTCAACATTCACCACTTTAACTACAACAAATACATGTATGGTTAATTACAAAGTTGTACCAAGCAAAGGCAAACACTACCTATATATTTAAGCGTATACTTGCAAGTTTAAAAGTATTCTTAACCAACAAACTTCAAAATGTGATGCTACTAGTTTGGTAGAATGACCTTTGATATATATTATAATGAATTCAAAAAGCCATTAAAGTAAAAAAATCATAATAATGAATAATAAATAAATGCAACATCAAAGATGTTTAAAATCACAAATAATTTATAATATATATTATTAAAAAATAGATCAAAGACTATAATAAGATAATATGATATATATAAGTCTTATTACAAAGCAACATAATGCAAGAACAAGAACAAGACTAGAAGGTCCAAACCAAACTACAAGACATGTTTTATTGAGACTTAGATACCTCTCAATCTTAAAACCTACATATATTAAGAATTTAGAAGCCTTTAAGTAACTTCTTATAAAAAGCTTTATCCTTAAATCATCCTTACACGCTTCTTAAATGGCTTTTTTGTTGCTTCAATGTTAAGAAATTTTATAAACCTTCTTCTATGACTTTCTATGTTGTTTGGGACTTTAATAATATGGAGAACCTCCTCTAACAACCTCTTGGAATCTTTGACAACCTTCTAAGATCTAATAGATCTTTCTAAGACTTTTTAAGAAGTTCTAAGATGTTTAAGAAATATATAGAACCTTTCAAAACCTTTCTTAAATAGTTTTCTATGACATCACTTCTTCATCCAACTCTAAGTTTTTAGAGGAGCAATAAAGCCAAAATTGCTCAAAGATGTGCCTCATGGTTTGTACAACATATCATAGTTGTCTTTTATAGGTGAAAAGTTTCATTGGTCTTTGGAAGAGTGAGACTCGAGGCAACATGACAAAATAAACAATCATTCTATTACCATTACTTAATGTGTAAATATAGTTGAGATGACTTTCCCTACAACTTTCAAAAGATGTACATGTATAATTTTAATTGTCATACATAATTGTGGTGGTATATACCACCTCATGTACCCTAGCCAAGTTGAACTTTGGATGTGTGTGAAAGCAACTACAGTACCAACCTTCCAGAGTAAATGGGCCTTGATTCAAGTTGAATGCATCCCTTTAGATCCGATATTGCTGCAAGTTCTGCACAGAAACCACTGTAAATAGTCTATTCTCAGCAAAATCCTGCTAGTTAGATGGGTTGGTAGACTACTTGTAGTTGTTGCAGAGGCAAGGATAACGCTATGGTGTTTAGGGAGGGATTGTAGAGTCTGGTATAATGTCCTTTCAAAGAAACACCAGTTGATGTTGAACAATTGTTTAATGTCACTCTTGATAGAAGACTTGTATGCTGCAGATTCAGGAACTAATAGAAAAGTAGTGAACTCTGGATTTGCAGTTGCACTAATCATAGACTTTAATAGAGTGAAAGTTCTCTTAAGAGTAGGTGACGCACCTGTGGCAGCAGGAAAGCTTTTTGTCAAGGCGGAGAACCTAGCCTTAGCAAACCAAATAGACATTCATTAAGGCACCTAAGTTTCTGGCAGCAGGCTGTTACTGCACTCGTGTGTCTCGCTGGTTTCTTTTTTGTTTATCGAAACATCAGAGTCATTATCTCCGTGCTAGGATTTTGCATCAGGCAGAATTGCGTATTTCATAGCTGGGGTTTGAACCGCCATTCCGCCATGCTTCGGTAGTTTGTCATTGAGGACCAAAGTGTCTCGCATATTTCAGGTTCTCTAAACTACGAAAGCTCACTCTGCCAGAAACCCATGTGCCTCATTGATGTGTGTCACATTATTAACGCAGTCATGTTGGCCTTTCAGACGCATAGTACAAGTTGAGCTGTGAACAGCAGTGTGATGCCATCTACAATCTCGCCGGTGCAGTTGCATTGGTTGGGAAGGAGGTTGGCGTTACTGCTGGCCTTGAATAAGCTTGTAACAGCCGACGCCATTTCAATGCATGATTCAAGGTCAGGTTTCATATCTGGAGTTGTGCTCCGAGGACAAGTTAGCAGTGCTGTTGCAAGTTCAAGAGCTCCAGGGGCACTGCGAAAAAAAGCTCTTCACATGGTGAAGTTATTGTTCTGTCCATATATTTCAAAGCAATGCACACCACATTATGAAATGCATCGGCAAAAGTATACTATATTGTACTTAACAACGCTCGGTAGATTTAGCCCTAATGCTTGTGGTTTCTCGTGTGAGCCACTGTAAATATGAAGAGATTGCGACCATTCCCGTATACACATGTTTTGCCTAATTCATTGGACGTTTCGGTGGTGTACATATAGTTCGGTGCAATGCTTAATATCCACAAACAGATGAAGGTGGTTTACTAAACTGATTCTATTTCTATATATATGTGTATAAAAATAGATAGATACACACGTTCAAAAGTATTTATGGCATACAACTTGCACTTCTATACTGTGCAGACCACGCAGTACATATACGCAACCAGTATCTAACGTATAGATAGAATGCTGGCCGAATCATTGTTTCTCAGGATTTTGAAGTAACAAAAGTTGATATGCGGGGTGAAGTTTCTGCTGAGATAACCTTTACACAAGCATCTTGATACAAAAAACGGCATCAAAGCAAGAGCAGTTTACTGCATACCAGAACGCACTGCCGGTGTGTTTTGATTTAAGGCTCCCCTACAATTCTTCTAGGGCATAAAGAATTAAGAAAAGCTAGTGTGTTCATGTAACTGTAGATGAAAGTAAAATAAAAAATAAAAACCTGTGTTGCTGATTGAATACGCTCTCGTGTGTAAACAAATATGTTCTAAATGTACAGGTCCAGAGAAGTACGATCTGCTCAAATGAGATGACTCCCGGACAGGATGGCAGCAAAAACCAGAAAATTTTGAAAAATAAATTCAGCAGTCCCTGTGAGTTTTCCTCGTGCATCCTATTGTGTGCTACTTTGTGTTGGGCCACTAATTAGAGATCGCAAACTTGCTCCCAACTCCTCGGCACTTACATGCATCGCTTGTCTGTTCACTCCAGCATCACTCCCCTCATCCTCTGACCCGATGCCATCGAACACAAGCTGTTCCACACATACTATACTGGCTTGTTCCATGTTCAACCCTCTCGACTCCAAAAGCTCCATGATATCAACCAATAGACCGGGTCTCTTGTCACATTCAATATGGATATTCAATCCTTCTTTCGTTCTCCTAACTTTCACCTGTTGCAATCGTTCACGGGTCAACCTTTGAAGTGCAAGGAAACTTACTCGATTACTCAACCTATCCTGACAAAGATAAAAACCCGAGAGTTTGCGAAATCATACCGTTGGCTGTGAGTATCCAAATTCGCTCCCTGAGCTTGATTCTGAGTCAGCATTGGTCTCCAACGTTCTCTCTCTGTGCGACAAGCTGAAATCGTCCTCGCAACAGGACGAACCCTCTTCAAAACAAGATTCTGTACCAAGCTCGTAATACAGCTCCTCCACTTGCCTTTGCAATTTCTCGATGTACTTATAAGCATCTGCCAGGATCGAGGCCTTCTCCTCCTGTTTGAGCCAAGAACAAAGTTTACCATCACATACGCATTTACCGCATCTATGACAGTCTCTCTCATCATACCATGGCTGTTGAACGACAGGGCACACATCAACACGCATCACTGAGACACAGATCACTCACACCAGGTTCCAATAAGAGGAGCCTATACTGCAGATAACTCTCTTTATCCTACTCGTTCCGCTTTTGCCAAAACTTCTGTAGGTGGAGAGAAACACAAGAGTGGCATTCATAGGTACTCACGGTGAATGAATTTGGTATCACAGCCCGCAATTGCTCAAGCTGTCCGTGCATCCTACTCCGCAGCTTACGCTCCAACACTACTTCACTGCCAAGAAACACGCCGTACGTCCGCTTACAGGATCGCGGCAGCACCGGCTGAAACGCCGTGGGAGTGTAAGCATAATCCTCGTCATTCTCGATGTCTGTGAGATCGTGGTCGGCGTAGTTAACGTATCCAACCGAGTCACTGAAATCCACAGTTAGCCCCATGCTCACTGCCATTCAGGCCGCACCTCAACAACCTCTCTGAATACCCTCTGCCAGCTCTTGCGCCACACACCCTCTATCACAATGCACTCACCTCTTCCGCCTCCCCACACCCGCTCACACCTCTCACAATTTCAAATCACGAAATTAAACTCTTCTCACCACCCTCGTAAAACCTCCTCAACAACGTCGATCCACCATCGTCGCAATCCAAGAAACGCAATTCTCTCTCTCTCTCTCTCTCTCTCTCTCTCGTCTCACAAGGAGAAGAAGCTAAATTTAACACCAAGAAGCGACCTCCAAGGACCCCAAGCAACGACTATTCAGCACAGCGCACCAAGAGGGCATCAATTCCCGGCGAGAACACCACCCAAGGAACCCCTCGACTGCAAACCGCTAACTTATAAAGAGCTCGATCACCAAAAAAAAAAAAAAAAAAAAAAAAAAAACTGCAGTCCTGAAGTTTTTATGATTCCGAGCTGCGAGGGCACCATGAACCTCACTTGCTCACTCGTCGAGCATTGACGGAGGGGGAGGGAGGAAAGCAAGTTGTGATGCAAATGTCAACCGAGGAACTATCCAAGGCAAAATTTGGGGAGCGCTGCAATCTCTGACGTCCGGCAGCTGGAAGCACGGAGATCACACCAGCATGCGCTCCTCGCCTTGGCCTGGATTTTTCTATTATTACACTCTTGATTCGCTTGAGTCCCGCTGCTGCTGCTACGGTGTACATAATACACACACATTTCGTTACGCCTCCGTCTGTCTGCCCCCCGCAGCTCGTGTGGCCTCCTCCTCGTCCTCCCCCCCCCCCCCAAAACTCCCGCCGGCGCGTTTCTCACTCCCATCACCATCAGCCCCCATGGCCTTGCATTTCCCGCTCATTTTTAAAAGCCTTTTTGTGCTCAGAGGAGAGAATATAAATACATCTATCCATTGGTCTCTCATTCATAATAATATTTGTTTGTTTGTATGTTTGTTTGTTTATATACACTCATATACGCCAGTATTATTTGTCTTTATTCTTCATTCTTCATTCTTCCTTGTACACTATGGCATGCAAATACTATCCTTTAAAATGGTGTTTGTCACCTTCATGTTCATACATTGAGGGCATGCCAATTAAGGGAAAAAATAGCTAGTCAATTACATTGACATTGAACTTGAATATTGGTACATGCCTAGTTTGCAAGTGTTTGCATTCATTTGAAGAGTGATGTAGACACCAAATGTTGTTGTTCCAGTGGATAAACAAAATGTAAAGAAAGGAAATATAATTATGAATATAAATATTTATTTGTTTGTTTAATGTGTTTTTTTTTTTTTTGAAAAAATATGATAAATTCTTATACTTGGAACACCTAAACGAAGTTTGCTCCTAACCCCCATGTCCCCTGCTAGAAAGATGGACATAACTCACAAGTCCTATTAATCATTATTTACCTTTTTAAAAGCCTTAAAATAGAAACAACAACAACTTTTATTGGCCATCTTTATGCCTCCAAAATGATACATTATCAATCCAACAGTAGACTTCCTTTAGGAATTAATAATATTTTAACTTTTTTAAAGGCAGCACCAAACAAGGATGATGCTCATTGGCCCCCAACTGCACAGCTTTGTCCTATTGGTGGTGCCAACTCCATAGCAAAAGACAGAGCCTTTAAAGCCCTCTAACTCTTGATTTGGCTTTTTCTTTCGAACTTTGTGTTGGATGACTATTTTTTTGTTCACCCACAAACCCAAAAAATGGAATACAGGGGCCAAGGAGCTTCCTAGCTTGGGCAAACCCTAACAACCCAACCTTGAATGAAGGGCAAGTCATAATTTGAGAAAGGAGCCTCCCTTTTATACTCTTTGGCCCAATCACATGTGTTCTTACACAAACTTCATGCACAAGAAAAAAGGAAGAGAAAAAAAATAGAATGAAGCACTCATAAAGCAAACCAAAGCAAAAAGGACAAAAGAAAAATAGTGTGGTGCTTTGGTTACAACATTCTTGACAATTATGTGGAAGAGAATATTGTTCAAAGTGTTGTTTGCTACATCAACAATACAATCTCAAAAATGGTTGTCACAATGGCAATGATTTGATCATTTCAAACTAAACAAATACTATATATATATATATATATATATATATATATGTTGTTGTTGTGTCTCTCTTATTTAATTTTCATGGGTTTTGGCCAAGACCTTTCAAGGCTCAACTTTGGTCAGGGTGTTTTATTTGTTTATTATATGTACATGTCATTGATATACTGTTGATCCTTGCAGAAAAAATCCTGTAATCCACTTGTGAGGCATTGTTCCATTTCATGTGTTGTGATGCACATGCCATCCACATGCTTGAAAGTAAATTCCCATGCCTCCCACAAAACTTTTGTTGTTACTTGTTTTGTTGGTATTTATTCTTTGATACTTGTAGATCTGTCTGTCTATCTATCTAGACAAACAAATAAACATGCCCCCACCAGAGTGACTGACTGTCATGTTGAAGTGTGTGTGTGATAGAGAAGAGGCTCGTGTTATGAGAGAGAAATGGCTTTTTTTGCTACCTTTTAAGACTAGGAATATCCTTGTGTTGGATTAGGATTAGGGTTAGGGTTATTGCTGAGGGTGGAGTCTGATTATGCTTGGGCCCTGTCTCTCTGTGAGGCCAATGTTGCTGCTTGGGGATGGATAGATGGATGAATACACAAGTAAATAATTGGGGGGGAGTGTATAGGAGTCCCTTACATTTGTGATGTTTGTACTAGGATAATTTGTGTCATATCCATGTTGAAATACATAATGAGAGAATGAATATTTTATATTTGAGACAAACAATTAAAAAATAAACAAAGAATCACATAATTCTCTCAATCGTCAAATGTTATTCTCTTTGCATCAATCATATTGTCATTTTTATCTTTAATCAACTAAAGAAGCAAATATTTATATGTATTCTATAAAAAAACAAAACAAACACTAAAGAAGTAAATGAAACCATATTTTATTATTTTTATTTATGTGTACAGAACAAAAGAGGATGCAAGTTGCAAGAAAGACAAATTGTTAAAAATATTAAAAAATAACATTAACAAGGCCTCTCACTGGCTTTTTATTATTATTATCATCATCATCATCATCATCACAGAATTGGAGTTGAAAAGAGACATTTCCAAGTTCTAAAATGAAGTACTTCTCAAAAACAGCCAACTAGAGTTCAAAAAAATATAAATCATGCTTAATTACATAATGTATGTATACACAAATATTCATACAAAATAGATCATGGTACTTCCCCTTTATTGCACACAATCTACCTTGTACTGAATGCATATATATATATATATATATATGTATTTATGAATTAGGAATGAACCTTAAATGTGATGTGATTGTGAGGGCCAGATGCAACAGCTCACATTGAGGACAAGTTCACTTGTTATTTCTCAGATACTCTCTTAACCAACCCACCCACCAACCCCATTACACAATGACTTGTATGAAGTATAATTGTATTCATCCTTATTTATTATATTATTTCCAATTGTATTTATTAGTAATGAGGACAAATTCCATGTATCAGTGGTGTCATGTATCAGATCCCCAGGATTATTCAGGAATGGGATGCTATGTGGCACCCAAATTTCATCTCTTAAAACCTCATTCCTCACACTATCTGCTAGCTACAATCAAACAAACAAATAAATAACATAATACAGACAAACATGTGAAAGGTTCAACAGAAAGCCACAATGTCCTGTATGTTCTATAAAAAGACGTTATAAAATCAAATTGTGCATAGTTTTATGTGGTCATGGTTGTCAAGTGGAGAACCTTCTCCCACATGGTTCTAAACTTTTGATGGAAATTTATTAAAAGGATTCAAATTCACTTGCTTAATTTTTTTAAAAATTAAACTATTGTGGAAAATAAAAATTAGGAAATTGCAGACAAATTTATTTATTAAAACTTAACCAAACTAAGATACAGCTTAGAAATATTTGCTACTCCTATACACATATACACACATATAAAAGTCCTCTTCTACCTTCTCTAACGCAAATAATAATATAAATGAATAAACACAGGTTATGTTTTTTGGGCACCAAATAAATTCAGAGAGGTCCCTTTCAATAATTATACTTTGTAAGCGTCCATTTTGATGGAGTAAGCTGCACCATTTAGATCAAGCGTGTGCACAAATCAAGGGAAGATCTTCATCTACCATGAGGGACAATTCCATGCAACAAAGAAGGATCTTTGAGCCACAGAATGAATTTTACACACCATTTTTGCCCAAGTCCATTTGAATCCAGTTTCTGTATCCTGAGCACCATTTGTTTTCAGAAATGAAAAAGATGCAATTAAAAAAAAAAAAAAACAATTAAAAAAACAAATGAAAAAAATGTAAAAGTTCACATACATTGGAAGGTCGGTGGGGCCACTCCGCTGAAGCTTATGAAATGTTTCACGACGACAAATAGTGAAGTGAGTGAATTTTATTCTATTGATGTTATACTGGGTGCCGCCCGGCGATGAAGTCGTAACCACCACGATTCCTTTGCGAGCTGGGTCATTATGCCGAACTGTCTGTGTTATTTGGCGCACACTCTCATGGAGTTACGCGAGTTTGACGGCTCGAAATTCAAGCAATAAGTGCATGGAGAATTTCCTCGTAGGGAATGAGTCGTTACCAACTGGTGGGTGGTTCTCACGCGGCCTGATGGAGCTCGTGTTTTGTTGTCGTTGTCGAGATTCATGAGCTTGCACAGTTCGCGAGGAGCAGAATGAACCCCAACTGCGGTGGACCGATCCCATTTTGGCTGCCGCGATATACGGTGGTGCGTGGGTCGGGACTCGGGTTGTTGCGTGCGCTGGCAATCGGCTCCAGGACGTACCTTTCCACAATGATGTCGCGGAAAACCGTCCCAATTCGTGAAGGCAACAACTCCCCGATTAGGAAAGAAGCGACGATGAGGTGTGCGCGATGCGGAGGAGGAAGCTTCTTTATCGCGTTCCTTCGCCTTTCGGGTACGTGTGAAATGTCAACTTGCTCCCCCCCCCCCCCCCGCATGTCTCACAAGACCGGGATATAGATTACAGGTGTGGTGGCGGCATCTCGCCAAATCTCCAACGAATGTAATACATAACATTCGAATCCTTTGAATCATATTCCTGCCGAGACCTCAACTTTTGTGGGAAAAAGTTTCTGGAGCTTTGAGGGTTGGTGAATCGAGAGCGCCCATTCCGCCATCGACAGTCAAACTCTCATCAGACAGCTGTTGTGCGTCGCCCATGCCTGAGCAGTATTCATGCGCAGTGCGCAGTGTCGAGGACAGCGACGCCGATCATGCATTCGTCGTTGCGAACCGGGCATTGGCATCTTTTGAGGAAGATATGCGAGCACCATAAGAAACTGCTAAGTGTGGAATGAGCGGAGCTCGGATCCGCCCTCGTGAAGTGCCTGATGGCTTCGTTGCAACCTCGGTGTCGCGGTGAAAGAAATAAACCATGTTGAAACACCTAATCCTCGTCTCGCATGAACCACCTCTACGATTCGAACCACGAAGGGCCGCGTGACATGTTGTCTACTGGCCTCGCTGTTTGCACCCCGATCGAGAAATCGATAGAGATTCGGATGGCAGAAAAGCTCCCGGTGGTGTAAATCACATCATCTCTCGGCAAGTAACAATTGCAATCATGGCTTCTTCTAAACAACACACTCAGCGACAAAAATAGA